TGGTGAGGAGGGGGAGGAGGAGGTGGTGGTGGTTTTGGGGGAGGTGGTGGAAGAGGATTTAAATCGGATTCGAAACCTGGCTTTGCTCAGGCATCACGATCTCGCGAGGCCCGAATCAACGCGGATAAACTCCATGTTCATACCCCCGAAGAGGATCTTGATAGCGAAGACGAGGCCATGATTGAGGCACTCAATTCCCGCGCCGTTAGCGTACTTCCTATGGGTATATACCGACGAGAGCATAAGGATGAGGGCGTCATAGTGGCCACCACAGCAGAATTAGAAGCCGCGGAAAATGCTCAAGCTATTCCGTCCACCACTTCAAAGGAAGAGGAGAGCCTTTGGGTGGATGGCGACGCAGACGAGCCTCTTTTAATGGACGAGAACGCAGAGGACGGTGGCATTTGGAAGAATGATTCGAAAACACCAGTCATTAAAAAGGAGCCTGGACTCGACGACTCCATGGATTTGGATATCGAGACAAAGGCCGATGCAGGAGACAAAGACAAGCAGCCTTCCGAAACACCAGCGCCACAGACCAAGAAGCCAAAGCAAGACCCAGAAGAAGCCATGATCCAGACAGATCTGGAGATTCTCGCCAACGAATTGGGTGCTGTCGAAATCTCCGAGGGCGAAGAGGGCAAAACAGAAGGCCCTAGCAACAAGGATGGTCGCATGTACTTATTCCAGTTCCCTCCTGTCTTACCCCCTCTGAAGCCAATTACCCGACCCAGCTCCATTGACAAAGTCAAGCCTGAACCTGGTCAGAGCGAAGATAATGTTTTGGAATCAACACCAGCCGCCGCTGACACAGAGCCGGTGGATCTCATCAGCGACAAGAACACTGCAGGATTTAATGTACCAGGCTTTGAAGACCCCGAGCAGAAGGCTGGTTTCATGTCCAGCCTGCTATCAACAGGTGGTATGGTAGGCCAGCTAAAAGTACGCAAGTCAGGCCGTGTAGAACTGGATTGGGGCGGCAGCACTATGGAATTGAACCCTGCCACAGGGATGAATTTCTTAACAACGGCCGTCATCATTGAAGAGAATGACGAGAAACCTCGTCCGGGGGTCATTGGTGGAGAGAGTATCGGAATGGGCAAGATTATGGGTCGCTTTGTCCTTGCGCCAAAGTGGGATGATGAGGAGGATTGGGAGGTCTCATCCGAGGACCTAAGGATTGAATAAGGACTATCCCACGGCCATGTGCCGATGTATGATAACCACATTACCACTGAAGACATGTCACAGATACACTTGAAGGCAATGACCTAGCAAGAGTCGCTCAGTGAAGAATAAACAAAGATACCCGAACTACACCATCAAGCCTTTCTAATTATAGAGTGTGCCATGCCTATCACCTATGCAGCGTCTGTTGGGCGTTCTCAAGCATGTGGACCATTAGTATCAATATTGATGATAAAGGAGTCAAGAAAGTTGAAGAAAGTGTTGTAAAACTGCTTGATTATCATAAACACATTAAAGGCTGACAAAACATGTGAACCTTATTCAATGCGCCATCCATCTATCAGGCCTCTGCTGGCTCATAGCCTTTTACTAAAAACCTATTGCCTCTCCTTTCAAAGGCCAAACCCATAGTGGCAAACTTGCTAATTTTGCTTCCTGTATGTTCCAGCCCAACCCTAATCCTGACGCCTGTTGCTCCCATTCCCGAATGAGTACAAGTACAAAAAGTCCCCTGTAAGATGTCGTTGTTGCGACAGAAAAAGAAAGGAATAGCCATATATCGGGCGCTTTCATCTCCGTAGGGTATCGTATCATTAGGTAATTCCGTTCATCTGCCTCTGCCCCTCATATCATCGCGTTCGAGTTCTTGGCTGTATGCCTCGAGGTCGTGGATTTGGTCGAAAGAGCTAGAAGCAGAGCGATCATTTCGACTTTGCCAGGACGACGGGGGCGAGCTATTGCCTTGTATCACCAGGATCTCGCTTTTAACGATGCTCGCTTGACCAGGCGAGATAGGGCCGTCGCCCGCGTGTCGAGGAGGGAGGATTTCGATATCGTTTAAGTGTGATGGGGACGTCGTGTTGTTTTGTGACACCATGTTGGTCAGTGAGACATCTTCAGGGCCAAAGCCTGGCATAATCAAGATTGCGGCTTTGGAACGGTTTGCGTTTGATCTAACAGCAGCAGAGTGGCCTGTGCCATAAGTGTTTTCGGTCGATTCGAAGCCTCTGATCCTCATAGCACGAAGAAGTGGTCGGATGGTAGCTAGGCTTGATGCAACAATAGCGACACCTGGTTCTATCAGTGTCCAAACCATGGCATCGGTTCCAGCAACTTGAAGAGGTCAGTTATGAGAAGACTAAATATTCGGGAACTACTCACATAGAATGTCTTCCGTATCAGTAAGATCCGCAAGGAATCGTAGTCGTACAAGGGTCGCGACACTGGCACTTGATGGTATGTTAGGCGAGGTTCTGAACAACGAGGAGAGCCAACTCACAATATGCCTAGCCCCAAAATTGCAATAACAGTTGTCTTTGCTTGCTTGGTCATCTTGACCGACCACAGCATTGGGATCGGGAGAAGGGCCTACCGAGCATTCAGTACTGTGCAGCAGCTTAGCAGATGAGACAGTGTTTCACTTACGTAGAGCCAGTCAGAAACGACTGTCATGACACTTATGGCATAGGCCGCTGAGACGATCTGGTCTGCACTTACACAAGTACCGTCTTTTATTCTGAAGTCCCACTGCATTTCGACTGGTTTGCACTGGAATAGGTTCCAGAAAAAGAGAACTATACTCCAGATGCTGATAATAGCTAAACTGATCCGGATAATCCAGACGTAGACCTTCTTGACACATAAACGGAGCAAGAAGAAGCCAATGCTGAGTTTTATGAACATCATGTCCAAAATATAGGTCGCTGTTGCCAAAGCCTGCCACTGTAATGGAGTAAATATTTGACCAAGAATGGGTGTCGGGGGAGAAGATGATGCCTACCATAAGGGCTTGAACTTTGGCCTCGTCGTCTTTTATGGCGTCATTGTGCTTTCCAATTCCCTGCTGGACACCCTCAAGGATGAATGCACATGATATCGTGAAGATGATCTAAGTCTTGGTGAGAGTTGTCCTATGTAATGTCACGAGAAATTTACCTGAGCAACGAGCATAAGCCAGTCATCAAGCTGCAAACTTTTCATCAAGACAGCCCTTGTATATGTGCGCAGCCCGACAGAGAACCAGCTTAATGTCAAGAGAGTGATCGCTGTTGCGACCAAAGCAGACCCATTCTCTTCATGAAGGTCAATATCTTTATTAGTGGCCATGGCGCTGCAGCGTCACGAACAACTTTTCGAGCTCGAGCATGGCCCAGTCCTCAAAAGTCGCGGGAGGATCGAAAGAAAAGGCTCAAAGATGAAATAAATGAAATAAATTCACAAAACAGAATTAATGGGAGGGACGCAAGGGGGGGCTCACTGTGAGATATATCTCACAGCTGCGAGTGAATCACACACGCTAGGATTGCACCAACCGACGTGGCGGATCTGATCAAATGCAGGGCAAGGGTCTCCAACTCATAGCCAGTGATGGGGGGGTGTCAAATTGAAGTTGATGTGTGTTGAGCATGGGTGTGATACGCCGGATGCAAGGTACCAGACCTGCCATTGACCGAGAAGAGAGAGGGTGTGAAAGTGATATCTTCAAGCACGCTTGCCTCTTACCGTCTTGGAGACCATTTTGAGGCATGTTTCTAGCCGAATTCTTCAAGCCACTAGCTAGCGGGAGGCGATGTTGCATCCACAAGTCCATGGAAATTCTGCAATGGGCCATGAAGGGAACAGTGCATCTGTCAAAGTCTTGTTTGGTCCAGCCTAATTGCAGGCAGGGCTGGTGAGGCGACCAGGTTGTTTGTTGAGGCAATGGCGTCAATCCGCGCATGAAAGCAGCAACATCATATTGAGCAAGTTTGTACTGGATGACACAGTCAAGCTTCGCATACCAAGAAGCAAGCCTTGGGTCACCAAGACGGTACGTAGCGCAGATGTTGGAGATGGTTAGGTTTGGGAAGAAAACAGGCGTATTGTTTGAACCAAGTACCCTGTTTAGCGTGCCGAAGCCAGCGGCAACTATCTTTTCTTAGTTGAACGCCAAACATCGGGGGTTGGGAATACTTACAGTTAGGACTTAATAGAGTTTTTCGTAACTTGACCAAATCAAATGCACATCATGAACGGCCCCAAGCAAGGAGGTGGACAGAGACATGCCAGCATGCGCCATCATACGACAAGCAAATAGCTCAGGTTGTGGAGTCTCAAGTCTCCCTGTTAGCCAATTTAGTTGAGGCTCCGAGGCTTAAATTTGATCAAAGATAGTGAGAATAGAAAGATCTTCGGTCTTCTCCACGATAAAAGTCGGTCGCTAAACTCTCCCAAGATGCTTTCCCGATAGTGCGAACCCGAAGGTATGGTAGGACATTCTGATGATCCGCACTTCAGTGCGGAACTACGGTTTCGGTTCAGCCATCGTTTCAGTATCAGCTCGCAGGAAAGTCTAGACTAGGTCTAAATCCCTGTCAAAACATGACATTTGGGGCAACCAAAGACTACACCCTTGTTTGCAAAGAATCGGTCATTACAACTCGCAGTAAGCCACCTATGAGGCCTGGCACTGAAGAACGGCGTCTCTTCTTAATTTCCTCTGGGCTGAGTCCGCTCATAGATGCATTATTAGTCTCTTTTGAGTTGGACTTTTGAGGTGACCATCGGGAAGTGGGGGGGACGTTGAAGCACAGGGGGCCTGGCGATCATTGGTCTACCTCGCTTCCAATATGCCTATCAGCTGAAGCCTGTGAGTCCCTTGTCGATACGTAACTAAGTACGTAGCGTGAAGTTCATGAATATCAGATCAGTAGGCGACACGCGAAGGCTAGCATAATGTCAGTGAAACAGTGGTGATTCGAGAGCAATTTGCTGGGTGTGTCAAGGTATATCCGTCCGTGATCCATCTCACGGGCACAGGATGGTCAGTTTCCCGAACCAGACACGTGCAGCCCCTGTAGTGCGAACCCATGCCCCCTGTACATCTTCAGTCTCGACGGGATTTTGGTGTGACCATGTCAGAGCAAAGGGCCAAAGATGCCTGTCGGTCATCAGCTTCGCTAGCGGTTTATCTCCCGATGATTCCGATTTGTGTGTGATCCTGGCATGGTAGCTTATTGCGGCTATTCGTCTAACCATTTAGGCCTGTGATGTAGGGACAGAAGATTTATAGATTAAAGTAGAAGATAAAGTCAGGGCAGTACATAGCTTAGACAGTAAAAGTTTACCGATGGGAGGATGGTAAGACGGTTACATCGGAAGGCGTTCATCCGTGGTTCCGTGTTGCCATGGATGTCTCTTCAAAACGTGCTTCTTCCCGCCCCGTTCCGCAAAAAGCAATGCGCCTGCCAACTGCAATTGCTAAATTGGAGAAATAGGTAAATACTTACATGTTGTGTAAGGTGACCTGAGAGCTCCTTCTGTTTTCGTAAATGTCCAAGTATTACCCCTATTATGATATCCTGAATTAGCAGCCTTGCGCTATACTATTGAAATTTAGTTCACATTCATATTCCAGATTCTATCTACCAAGTCCCTTTTTCGGATCGTGCCAGAAAGTGACTTATTCGATTCTGTAGATCTTATTGGAACGCCAGATATAGGTGCCCAACCCGATGAGTTGGAATCTTGATCCGATTGGCCGATACCGGGGTTCGAAAGTTCCGACATCCCAAGACCCCTCATCTTGGTCTAAACGAGTGCCGATGTCTAGAACTGGGAACAACATCCGCCCCCAATTTAAAGAAGCTTCTGCTATAAAAAACGGCCAAAAGAACTAACGCCTCCGATCTGAGTTTCTCGCATCTAATGCCCAATCCTTCACTGACCTCCGCGAACAACCCCTGTGATCAGCATTTCCTTTCGGGTCATAGCGTCGATAGTCACCCATAAAGCGAAACAAGATGGCCGATATTGCCGAAGACAAATCCCTGGGACTCACTTACGCGTCTCACCAATACGGGAAACATGACCGTCAGAAACTAGGCGTATGGCGCTTTGCTGATCGTCCGGCCCAAAAAACTGGTTATTGGGTGGTGTAAGGGTTTCCCATCGATCTACTATTTCTCCGGTTTCATTATTAACAGTTTCCAGCTTCATCCATGGAGGTGCCTGGCGTGATCCTCGTAACAATGAGAACGATTTCACCGAGTCTATCAAGCGCATTGTCATCTCGGGTGCAGTTGCGATACTGGACATTGCTGGCTTTGTTAGCATCGACTATCGGCTATCACCTCACCCAGACTTCCCTCAAGAGTCTGCCACAGTAAAACACCCAGGTCATTTAGAAGATATCTGGTCAGCTTTGAACTACCTACAAGGCAAGTACGAGTTGTCAAACAACTACATCCTGGTCGGTCATTCTGCGGGTGCAACACTCGCCTTCCAACTTCTCATGAGTGGAGACATTCTGGCCTCTCACCCCAAGGGACCCTTACCCATTGCCATTGTTGGAGTATCAGGTATATTCGATCTTGTTGGGCTTAATGACAGGCATAACGGCGGGTATGCTGGCTTCGTCGAAGCCGCATTCGGTGACGATAAGTCTGCCTGGGAGAAAGCCTCCCCAGCCCGATTTGGATCAAGCTTTAGAGACAAGTGGGCAAGTGGTAAATTAGCAATGCTTGCATGGTCTACTGAGGATACACTTATTGATGAGCCGGAGATTGATAATATGGCTTCCCTTCTAACAGAGCAGGGACTCAAAGTTGAAGTTAATAAGCACCTCAGAGGCGAGCACGATTTTGTATGGCAAGACGGGAGCCAGATTGCTCGCCTAGTCATCACCACTCTTCATCACTTAAACAGGATATGAAAAGGCCTTTGAGATATCATTATATTCACTTTAAACATTACCATTTACTTGTTGTCTTACTTAAGAGCCTATGCCTTATTATTCAAAGTAAACGCCGAATCGTTGTATTCGTGTACTTGCCCAATCTTTTGCCTCTTATTTCTTTTTCATCAGAACAAATCCAGTTGACGCAACTCGAGATGAAGCAATCATGAGAGCACCAAACAGAAACACAGTACCACCCCAAATCTGTGCATATACAAAATTGCCATTCGATTTATCCAGGATGGCACCAGCAGTCGGTGGTCCAGCCAAGCTGGCAAATGCAGAAATCGTCTGAACCATACCGAAGCGAGTACCCATTTTACGGGGATCTTGATTACTTGGTCAGTCATGTACAAGAGAACAAACGGCAAGGCAAACGTCGGCGGATCTCTTACCTTTGGTCAAGCTCGCATTAGCACCAACAAATGTCCCCTGACATGCGCCGTTCACGAATCCAAAGAAGACGCAGAAAGCGTACATGCCGGCGACGGACTTGACGCCAATCCAGCAGTACACCATGACGCTGAGTGCAGTCATCCCAATAAGGAATGCGTTGATCGGTCCCAGGATATTGTCTGCCAGGTATCCCATTATAGGCCTTGCAGGAATACTCATTGCGTTCACAATCAGCAGCAAGCTGACAGCTTCAACTGCTGTAAACCCGATTACGTTGCGAGCATAAACGTTGATCTGTTTACTGTTAGCGACAATATCGCAGTACGGCTGGTCTTGAAAGGAGCCACTTACATAAAAGAAACCAAAGTATAAGGCATAAAAGTTCAGAAACGCGCCCAGCACGAACAATAAATAGGGGAGTTCCCTGAAGGCTTCCCATTCTATCAAGGGCCCTGATTTTCTCGGGGCGAGGTAAGGCTTTAGTATGAGATTTGCGGCAACTATCAAGACGAGAGCGACAAAACCAGCACAGCGGACGGCCCATGGGAAACCGATTTGTGGAATGAGATATTGGAGAGTGGCTGGGAAAATGATGGAACCCAGCCCAGTGCCCGTTGCAGCCAGCGCCAGAGCAAATGCCTTCTTGGCTTTGAAATACGAACCAACAACAGTCACAGCAGGCATGAATAGCAAGGCTAAGCCAATGCCTGTGCAAACACCCTGGGACAAGAATATTTGCCAATACTCTTTACACAGACTGGTCATGAAGGTTCCCAAGATAGCCAGGAAGCTTCCGAAGGCGACAGTCTCTCTGGTATATCCAGCATCGGCAAGACGGCCAGCTGGGCCACAGAACGCGAACGTCAGGAAAGTCTGGCAGGAACCGATCCAAGAGATCTGAGACGAGGGCAATCCAAGGGATTCTTCATAATGAAGCTGGTATACACCAAAGGAGGCGGGGTAGCCCCATGCCAAGCAATTGATGAAGACACCAGCAAGAACTTGAGACCAAGCTGTGAAGCCTCCATCTGGTGGGTCGAAGCTTTCAGGATCAAAGACCGGAGGAGGGGCGTTTGTATTTGAAATAGTGTGATGGAGGTTCTGAGGGTCCTCGGGATTGCCTTCAGAAGGGCATGGTGACGACTGCCTCCGAGTTGGCATCTTCTCTACATCCTTGCCAAACATTGTTGATACGATCAAGTGTATGGTATTAAGGTGTGTTCCATTGATATGCTAGAACATGGACTGGCCCTCAAGTAGTAGAATTTGAGGTTGCTAGGCATAGTTTCGGGGCTATTCAACTGGGACGGCCGACAACTATATACGTCCTTGTCTCTACCCCATCCCGTCCCGATCAGAGTCGATTTCTTAATAATTGAGTCAAGAATTTTTCTCGAAGGGCGCAATCCTATGGTTGCTTGCCGATATCGCGCCCCACAAACCCCAGATCGGGTTACTATAGTTGTTGCTCTCAATTTCAGTCAACATCATTTGCTGACCTGTGGTGAATCATGGGGTTACGATTCTGAGTGCCTACCGCGCCCTTCAATTACATTGGTTTCCGGTCAGGCAGAGCCGGATTTACGAGTAGCACGACGTAGATATATTTCATCCCGTCCATCACGCGGCCATAACATTGACGTTGGCTTGCAACAGGTCGATTTTCATTAAAAAGCATTACGAACGTACCCTAAGCCAAAAGCCGAGATGGAAATGAAGTATCGAAGGAAAATCCTCACAAATGAATATAATTTATCAGTATCACCCAAATGGTCTGTTTGGAAATCACACTATATTGAACAAAAAGAAGCAAAGTATTACCGTTACTTCATATTCAGGGTAACCTGAGCCGGTCGCCCCACTAACCGCCGACGAACCGAAACCCACCCACCCCCCGCTCCGATGGCCGGCATTCTTTATTTCCGGAGTCGGAAGTCCGTTGATCTGACGCGTGGGGCCAATGAAACGTCTCCGAAGAAATCACGGGTGGTCGCGGCCGGAGCCGGTGCTAGGGGTCAAAATAAACAACGATAATCGATACGATGGTGAAGATTCCTGTGTGACCGCTGAAGAGTTTGCGCCGTTCTTGAAATAAGCTATTGTTGTTGCTCTGGAGGAATGTTTGAACCATCATGATAGCATAAACTTAGACATTGACTTTGAGATAATCGCAATTAACTCGCTGTTTTGAAACGGCACCGCCCGCATCTCAAATTTTAAGCATATACCGGTGCTCGAGTTAAACGCACAATTGACCAACTTGGTCGTTGATTATTTTATTCTGTCAACTAACATCAATGCCCTAGTCAGCCAAAACAGAAAACGGAAAAAAAAAAAAAACACGACAAGAAATTACCCCGCGCTCGTGATGGAGGGGTAAAAACAACAATGGCGGTAAAGAAAAAACATGATGTAAGGCTCTCACGTGAAGCCATGATTCGTCCAAGGGCCAATCGGCTTATAGATCGTCTCCGCATCGGCAAAAGGTGGAGCGGGAACGGCACGCTAGTTCAGGTTGTGATGGTGGGGGGCAACCGATTTGCGGTAGGGGTGCAGAATACCTAGACCACAATTTCTCTGCACAGAATATTTTGAGATATTGAGTCGGAATATACCTGATGAGAAAGAAAAAGGAAAAGTTTCGAGGTGGAGATGTAGTTCTGTGAGGCGTGACGCACAAGTCTCACTCTAAATGTTGCAGTTGACCGTTTCGCAGCGTTTCGGCAAACGATGCCGAAGTTTCGGGCTTGCGCTGTCGCGAAACGGCCTCAAAACACAAGCATGGTCAATATCAGCAATTAATATTTAAATATGCCTCAAAACATTCGTAAGGCAGTCGCGCAATACCAGAATGCATGGCCTATCATTTTGGAGACTTTATATGAGCAGCGCATTGCGGTAGCTCGTGTCGCACACTTTCACATTCACGCGCATTGATGAACCTAATTAATCTCAGGCATGTTGTATAGTTAGTTGCGTACAACAAGATATAGAAAAGTCGCTAGAAAACAGAATAACATATCGGAAACATTTGGCCTTTTGCCACATTAACCCGTTCCTTTGCGCGGCCGGTGTGGCATACAGACAGCATCCCTTTTAAGGTAGGTAGTCATGCATCTCGATCAGAATGCGCCTCAAGTACGCACACGATAAACCTTCCATGTACCGTTCCTGTCCTTCCTTCTAAACCTTGGGAGATTTTCCAAGCACCACGCCCCTTGTTCCCCACCGTATCGCACCTTTTTTGAGTGGTTTGCCTTATGGAACTGCCGCCCATAAGTCCATCGCGATCCAGACGCGGCTGAACGTCAACCTCGTTGAGCCTGGAGGCAACCAAAACAATGTTGAATCGGAGGAAAAATATTTTTTGTTAAAGAAAAAAAGACACTCGACAACTCCTACATCTTGCCTCAAAACGCCGTATAAGGAGAGTAATGGCCGAACGGCCGTCGTTATTACATCCTCCTGAGTATCATCATGAGTGCTGCCCTCTCGCCTGCAAGCTAGAAGAACCAGGGAAAACATAAAAAGAAAACATTCGAGTGCATGGCCCATTTGTTGGTAAACCGTTGGGACCCATTGGGAAGATTTGTACAAGTCATTCATGCCACATTGACAAAGATGACAAGTAAGCCGACAACAACGCCAGCAAAACTGCTGTGTCAAAGCTCAAAGACCAGTATATACAACAATATTGAAAACCTTCAGGCAGTGTGACTGAAGCCAGGCGCTTATCGCTTGCGCTTCTTGGACTTATCCATTGTCATGGCAGCAGCCGCGATGGGTGCAGCGGGTAATAGCGCAGGTTGGACAACGGCGGTGACCTCATCCTTCTTGATGGGCACTCCCATGTGACGACCGTATCGACCCTTTCGGCCGTTGCCCTCATCCTCACTAATGCACTGGTCTGCCGACAGGCCAGCATCACGACAGCGTCCACAAGGCCTTTGGCGATCACACCCCTTCTTGCTCTTTCTGCAGCGTTGGCAGCGAGGCTTGGTGGAAAGATCAGGCTGGTCATCCTCGCCAGGGGCAAGTGGAGTTTGTCCGGTAGACGCAATAGATTGCTTTCGCGAAGGGGGCATAGAAGCTGGCGACATTGGGCCACTTGGGACAGGGGGCAGCTTCTTACCCTTGACGCCATTGGAGGGACGGGCAGCCTTGGAGGACTTGGCCCATGGTGCTTTAGAAACAGAGGCAGATGCCTTAGGTTTAGCAGGGGCTTTCTGAGTCTTGCCAGGCTTGCTCTTGCCAGTAGAGAGCAGAGACTCGTCAGCGCCATCCTCATAGTCGGCATCGTCTCCACTAACTTCGGCGCTTTCAGGGGGTGGCATGAAGTGTGACTCGGTCGTCTGATAGACATTGCCAACAGTGCTGGAAATATCTAGCTTCTGGCGTCGCGCAGGAGGCAATTCGGTCTCACTCTCGCTTTCGCCATCACTAGTAGCTCCAGTCGAGGAAGCAGCATCGGCTCTGCCACTGAATGTATCATCGAGAGTAGAAGCAGAGGTTCGGCCGTGGGAGACGTTGGACATGTCACCAAGTCGCATCAGCTGGATAGCAACATCCTTGTCCTCCTCAGACACACAACTGCCAATAGTTGGGTCGGGAGTAGGAAGAATTCCCATGGCGCTACTGGTATATCCGCCACTGTTTCGGTTGCGGCGATCGGGTCCCGGGGTTGAGTAGAGATTGGGATGTGTGATGCCATGTGAATAGCCTTGGGGCGACTGCATAGGGCGAGGGTTTATGAAGGGATTTTGATGAGGCTGCACGAATGGCATTGCTGGCCGATGAGGCTCAGCTCGGCGAGCAGGAGATACTGAAGGATTCGATGTCGCTGCAGGCATCTGGGGCGGTGCGAACAATGGAAGTTCCTGTGGCCCAACATTGTCAGTCTCTCTGAGCCCGCCTTATCAAAATGGCGGTCTCCACTTACCGAGCTTTCGAACTTGGCCCTCTTACGACGGCCACCTTCAACAATGTTCTCGACACTGATATCAGTAGTAGGTAGTTGGTCCTTGTTCTTTCCAGATGTCGAGTCATGCTCATCATTGCTGCTATAGCCGTTTATACTGTCGCTGTATAATTCGGTATGACTCCGAGAGGCAGAAGCTCGGGTCTTGGAGGAGCGAGAACGACCCTTCTTCCCATTTGTGCTGGCAGAAGCACTTCTTCGGCCACGAGCAGTGTTGGGGGATGGGCTTCGTCTCCGTGATGTCCGAGAGCTGGGCCTGGACAACTCTTGGGGAAAGCGCTGAGCCTGAGTGGCAGTATAGCCATTGTCGCTGTAGTAAGGGTGGGTGCCAACTGATGAGTTATGGTAAGAGTGGGGAGAATACGCAGCTGCATTCGCCGGAGGTTCCTCTATAACCCTGACGTATACTACCATATTGTTTCGAAAGTTCTCGTACCGGGCAATAAGAGTGTTCCCAAGATCATCTTCGAAACTGACTCCCTTTGACCCGGTCGGACCCGAGTACAGACCATAAAAGTTCTTCACGGTAGTGACAATGGAGTCCGTTGTATCGTGGGGGTATATTTGCACTCGCATTGGCAAGCGCGCACGGCAATGGGGGGATTCGAGAAACAATAGCTCAAATGCGACGTTCTTGGGTGTCGATGTCTGTTGGGGTGAGACACTGCCGCCATTTGATGACGCTCCAGAAGGAACGACAGCAGTGTTGAGAGGCGACATTGAAGCCATTGTGAAGCTGAGAGAGTGTTTATTGTGTCGATAGAGATGGATGTTATAGAATTGATGGGAGTAGTTGGGTTGATGGGTTTCAAAGTGGTGTTTGCGGGCTTTGCCTGGGATAGACTGGGCCCGGCCCTGTTCACGACAAGATCGCTCAACAGTACGCTCAATGCTATATGCGAGGTCAAGGACCAGAAAAGCAGACAAGACAAGATGCGTAAAAAGCGACGTCAAAATGTAGATGAAGAATCAAGGGATAATCAACATCCACGCCGTAGGCGGTAAGCGCCGAGTCTTGTGTGTGTCTGTGTGGTCTCAGGGCTTTGGACTTGCGGTGCGTATGACGACGATGAACGGTGGAGGGTTTTCGTTAGAACGACAGTGACGGTAAAAAGATCGATATGCTGCTTGTTTCGAAGCCTGTCAGTAACCAGGAAACGGCTGGATGGTCTGAGGACCCCTCGAGTAGAGAGGATGGGTAGATTGAGGGTCGGGGCAGTCTGGCGCTTCTTGGGACGGGGACGACGGATGAAGCAGAGAGGACATGAACTTGGGAACTCAGGATGGAAGAGGGGAGAATCGGGGCCTTGAGATTGGGTCTCGATGGGGATCGCGCACAATAACACAGGCGATGGGACTTACCAGAGAGGTCTTGATCCGTGTTGAGATGGTTGTGGCGGCGTCGAAGAGTCGGCAAGAGGATGTGCATGAGGAAAAGAGGAGCCAGACCAGACGAGAGAAGAGAGGTTGTTGAATTTGAACGGAGCTGGGCTCACTAACACGAGAACACTCCGTTTAGGGGGGGCAAGCGTTAAGAACTCCTGAAGGAGGCCTGGAAATTAGGCCAGCAGACCGCTAAAGACGGCCCTGGGCAGCGTGCGACAACCTGTAATTACAGCGTCTAAGCCAGAATCTAGGGATGGGGAAACACGGCTGATGCTGAAATTGAGCCAGGGCTGGTTGGATGGCTTGCCCTGAGGGGAGGGGACTCATTGCCCAGGACCCATCCATTGTGGTTCCTCGCCGATGAACCCGAGCATCTATTCAAGGAACTGCCATGACGTGCCTCTAATCTCGGTATTATTGTGGCAGATACCGTGAAAAGGTAGCCCGATGCTTAGAATAGACACTGTAGATTTGCTTTTGGTTTCTACGTTGTGACTGACTTCAGGGGAAAAGAGGGCGCATTCTCGACTCCTCCCGCGCGAAGAACCTAGAAAAGCGGATGCGGCGGTGCAGATGCGCAGCGCAAACCGATCAGTATCTTTTCGCGCGCACGTCGCATACACTACAGTTTCGATTCGTTGAGCACTCTTGAGTCGGTTGATAAAATCATCACAATATAAACTCTCCATCTGAATCTCGTCTGCGACTCCTCACAGGCTTTGAAACCTGTGCGGGCCAGTTATCAGAATAGGTTGCAAGAACCTGGGCAGCCATATGTCGATCCCCCAGCAGCAAAGCAAGGCGCATGTTCGGGTCTTTATACGGTGATGATGAGCCTTTGCAACGGCCATATCTTGTTTAGACTCGTCGCAAGATTACAAGTCTGGGCCATAAGGTTCAGGAACAGGCCGGTGAGCAAAGCAAAAGTAATGCGCCAGTCTAAATTCCAGTTATTGAAGCTGTGTAAAGCCTGTCGCTCTCAGTTGAATATTGGCTCCATATCGCCGAGCACCATGACGGACTGACAGTGCATGCATGGATTGCCCATTTCAGCGGATCCTGGGAACCTTGGATTGCTGGCTCTCCTTTCCCTCCCGAAACTCTCACTCGAGCGCTGGCTTTTGCTACGGAGTATGGTCTCATCGACCACTCACGATCCATCGACTGCTAGCTACATATCCATCGCTCCAAGAAGCGACCCGAGTTAGGCTAGAGACTGGTCGTTGGCGACCAACAACTGTGACCGTACTCCCAATGGAAAAGAATCCTCAAGCCCAGCCCCTCTTGATCCAGAGTCTCTGACACTTGTTGGTGGCCTCGTGTGAGTCTGTGACTGTTGATGACCCTCACCTCCAATCCAAATGTGGTGTGGTTAGTCTAAGAAGAGGAGACAACGAACAACAACATCTGCAGTGGTTCCCGCTAGCTTCTGCTGATAATGTATGTACTGTACCTAGTGTACATAGTCCATACCGTAGAATATGCTCAGCGAGATCGCTTGTTGAGCTGCGATCGCGCGCACACACGCACACTTTACCTGCGAATTCCTCCTCCGCGCTCCAATGGGAGCGTGCGAAGCTTGTCCAGGGTTCAATGCGACCTCAATCAGGGCTTGTTACAGATGTTAGACTCTGGCGCAAAGTTGTCGGTCATGATACAATTGCTAGCAATGAAGACTCCATGGTCTGAAGACTCAGTCAAAAGTTTCGAAAAAGGAGAAGGGATGTTGAGAAGAACCCTTTTGAGGTCGACACACTGAGAAAGCGGAGAGCTCTCGATTCAACGGCTCAGAGATGTCTGAGTTGGTGGTTGCAACAGATCACCAGCAGCCAATCGCACTGATTCTCAAGGTCGACCGAGCTGGGGACCTGTCTAGGCTGATCATGTGTCGAAATAAGCTTGGCACACGGTAAGCATCACGAACGGTCTGTGTTAACGAGGAATTTTGGAGAGCTTGAGAGGGATAATAGGGAATCTTGGGATATGTCCAGTCCTTCACTGTATGGATAAGTTTTCAAGAATAATATTGAGGTGTCGCTGTGCACTTGAAGATGCAATATGAGAGACACCCCTTTGTGGCGATATTGATTATGACACCTTGATGTTCCAGTTTTTTTGGTACTACATACAAACTACCGACCTATCGAACACTTAACCGACCAGATTCTTATGATATGGACAGCAAAGTATTCGGTGCGCTTCAATCCCCACATAATTAAGAAACAACGGCATACGGGGCCGTCTGATGCGCAAATCAGCGACTAAGGAGTGAATTTGCGCCAGTTCATTATCGACTTGCGCTTCCATGATGGCCATTGACCACTCCGAGGGATGATGCGCTTAGCTTGCGAATGATTCTGAGACAAGAAATCCAAGCGTCAAGAGCCCAGCCAGCCTCTGTGTGCCAGGCGCATACCTCCAAAGTTCAAAAGCGCTCAAAATAGAAGCACAATAATAGTCGTTCCTGTTGAACAGAGATGGATGGATGTACTGAAGAATGGAAATGCGCCTGTTCAAAACCTCAGTCAATTGCGTTGACATTACATTCATCCTCGTCCCCCACCAACAGGAACAGCCAATTGTCCGTGTCATGATAACCCTCGTTCGGCGCCTGGGCCTGGTCGATCAATTTCCTTTCTCTAGGGTTTCATCTTGAACCGTTCAGGCAGCGGTCGTAGCGATTAGCTTGCGGCGTACGAGGGACGAGAAAGATGGTGGAATGGCATCTTGGATTGGACCTTGGCCACACGTTCGGCTTGTTTTGTTTCAGCATGAGGCCAGAGGACGCGTGAACGTGAATGTGAGTGAACGTGGAGGTAGCTGTGGATGTGGATGATGGTCCCATGGATCCGTTGTGATGGCGGCACCCCAATTGGTCTCTTTTCTGGTCCGACAGAGACTCAATAATCTCAATCCGACCTCAAGTACGTTGTTTATTATCCTCTATCAGTGCGTACGTCTAATCTATTCAACTGTATATCAGACTCGTGGACCCTTAGAACGGCCACAGTTCAAAGGATAATACACCAACCAGACCATGCATATTGAGGGCCCTCAAGGACCCGTGACTGACTAACATAGGTAGTCCGGAACATGCATATATCCTGGACAAGCCAAGCAGACCCTTGCCACATGTTGCGATCCAAAGATGCGCAATGCGCTGCATGATATCTTTTCGCATTGCCTTCTATAGTAGACTTCATAGTACGAGCCTCTAACCACCGTGATAAAAAAGATGTCGTAGTAAATGCGCCGTCCATAACTAAAGCGCATATCCCATATCTCGTCTCTCTCTGTGTCGCACAGCGTTACATTGAGAGCAAAGCATGCGATGCGCCCACCGTCCATCAAGCATGACGCTTGCGCGCACGCTGTCACCGCCCCGCCCTCGATTATCCACGTTTGGATGCGCTGGCGCAAAATTTAGGTGATCGTGGTCAACAACAACAACGAAAAAAACAGATGCGACAAGGAAAGGCTCCATCGACCGAATCAGCGTCTGTCGCAGCCCAGCCTGGAGTTATGAGACGAGCCTGGGCCGTGGTCACCTCATCTCCAGATGTCTCTCGGATATGTCTTCCACGAGACTCCAAGGCTCCGCCACCAGCTTCTAGGCTGGGACTATCTGTGACAAGCGAGATAGGTAGATAATACGTAGTTATGTTCGATATCGAGGTGACAGGGCCTATCGGATTTGCTCTCGCGATCAGGTCCATCAGCAGCATGTCAGGGCGCGGCGCACAAAAGATACGGTGTGTGTATCTGTTACCTTCAACCCTTGTTCGTCTGCCTACCTGTGCTGTCTATTTTGTCTATCAAGCAATGCAAAGAGATTCGGCATTTATCCTTACATTTATACACACCTTGCTGTGGCAGAAACGTATCTGCATTTAAATCGAACTGCGCCTAATAGGATATACGTATTGCCTTACAGGCAGGCGTTTACTTCTTATCACCACCCACCCAACTCGTTTCTTTGGCATGTGGCGTCGCTAGGTTCCCATTGCGTACTTCGGACCTTTGCTCTTGTTTCTCATATCCATGTGCCCAACGGATTAGCCGCTATTTGCACCCGTTGAGTCCCGCTCGAATTCCATGGCACAAAGTGGCACAGTCTGATGCCAAAAAGGTTGCGCTGAGTCCTGATGCGACTGTGTCGCGACCGGGCAAGTTGGGTCTCGTCGTATAGAAGTAAATTCAACATAGCAGTAGGAGAGAAATAAGGAAACCGCTTAGTTACGTCGTAATTGGGACAGTAATTGGACCAACAATCGCCACAGTGATGCCATACGGTTATTGGCGACCGACGTCGCAACTTCATGAGCTGTCACACTTTTGGGAGTCCAGCCGTTCTGTGTTTCGTCGCTCTTGAGGCACCTTGAAATTACCACTGTCGTCTGTATTGATATTATATGCCAATTAAATCTTACAGATTGACGATCTAGATATGGCTACTCGTTGCGTTCAATCAATTTAACGAATGCAAACGATCTCTCAAGACTACACCTTCGTAGTTTAGAGACCCTGCCGACCCCAGATGATCATGGCCAAATGACACTGATGATACTATAACATCGCATCGATCGGAATGCGAGAAATGGTGGCGTAGAATGGGTCTTGGTGCAGCTTGCGTGGTGGGCTGTCTTGCTTAATCATGATGGAGGCATCGCATGACAGTAAAACAAGCGCAGATATTGGCGTGCTTCAAACTAACATCTGTCATAGTATTCCATTGCTGGCCCAGAGGGACAGCCATATAAGAAAATCGACATTTTGATATTACGAGACGTATGTATTCCTTGTGGCAGACGAACTTGACTGTAATGACTGGGCGCAATTCTTGATACTTTCTATCTGCACATAAAATTGCGCATATCGGCGGGAGGCATAACTGGGCGACGGCGCGGATCGATGAATTGTCTCGGCGGTCTCGGAAAGGAAAGGGGGATGTGATCCTCCCTGATTCAATTCGCGACAGGTCTCGGCAGATTTTTTATTCTTGGAGGACTATGAGGTTTTTAGAGATGCCGTTGGGTTTACGTA